AAATAAAATAATCAATACCACTACTACTAATAATAATAATAATAAATGCTGAAAATTTACATTTTATATTATTTTTTAATTGAACAAGTTCGCAAGAATTTTACATAATAATAATAATAATAAATGCTGAAAATTTAAATTCCAGATTAGCTTTTTATTTGGTCAATTTTAAATTTATTTATTTTATTGTTTGATTGTGAAATCCTTTTATGACTGCAAGATTTGGGAAAAACTTTAAAAAGTAGGTGGTTTATACAAGAATGCTGTTCTTTTGAACTTTCTATTGATCATTAAGGTTTACATTTATTGATTCAGCAAACACAACAGATCTGTGCTGACACCATCACATAACCCTGCACTTTTACTTGCACTGAAACTTCAGATCCTTGCATTGATACAGTATTTATTTTATTTCTGAGTGCATTCATAACTCACAACTCACATACAAGCTTGTTTCAATTTTCCCCCATTTTTCCAGCCCAAACAGGAAATAAACAACTTTCCCTGCGGCCACAAAAAGCCGATTGATCATGCTGTGATCTTTCAGAAGGAACATCCAAACCTGTGTGAAAAGCAGCAGCGCCGCATGAAAGACACCGCTTATCTGCACACGACCAAACGCTCCAACTGCTCTACAATATTCCACCAGCAATTTCACCCAATAAAAGCCCTGTTGTTAGTTTCTGACACTGTGCATGTGTGCATCTGTAACGTAACGTCCCATTCTGCTCTAAACATCCAGGCTGCTTATATAAACACGTCCCGCTTTAACTTTTCCAGGACTCCATGCTAAACAAATTAGAAGCAGTCAAAAAAATGTATGTGCACCTTCTGAGCAGTCACATAAATATTACACGATTAAAATAACTGAAGTAATACTTTTAATAAAATGAAACTAAAACAACAATTCACTGGTCTTTGTCACTGAATCATCAATTCAGTCGATTCATTAAGGCAGCTGATTCATTCAGCTGATTCAATGTCCTTATGAATGAGTCATTGAATCACTGACTCACCTGATTCATTCAGCTGATTCAATGTCCTTATGAATGAGTCATTGAATCACTGACTCACCTGATTCATTCAAAAACGCAGATCCGTTCATCATGTTTTGCTCTGAGATTCACAGCAGCTCAGCTGTGACTTCGTTTGAAACTATTTTTGTTGCTGAAATAGAGAAATTCAGACAATATTGTGCCTAAAACGTACATCATCTGCAGTGCAGATGCATTTGAAGTTGTAGTTTTAACCCTCCTGATGCTCCCTGTGTGGCAGTCAATTTATTTTTTATTTCAATGACATGAATCTGCTGTATTTTAGTTTGATAATGTTTTTTATTTAATATTTTATATTTTTAGGAGATTTTATGGTACTAAACTATATTTATGGAATAGTTACGATCCATTTATTACCCGTTAACCACTGTTTGAACACAGACCTGACATGAATTTTCCAACATAAAGGGGTCCTATTATGCTTTTTCACTTTTTGAATTTTAGTCAGTGTGTAGTGTGTATGTTTGGGCATAAAAAAAAGATCTCCAAAGTTACAAATCTCAAAGTCCACTCCAAAGGGATTTTTTTTAAAAATCCCTTTTCAAGAACTACAACGAACGGCTCGTTTGGACTACAGCGTTGTTTTCCGGGTTTTGTGATGTCACAAATCGGCCCATTAGAATATTGTTAAAATAATTCCCGCCTACGTAAATTCGAATGGTTGGGGGGTGGGGAGGGGCGAGGTTATGTTTAGAATGCTTGGTTGCGTGCATCAGACAAGACGACGACGGAGAAGTGCTTCATGTTTTGTAATACGTAAAGTAATTTATAAATAACTATTAAAATTGACAGCAATGCATATTTACAGTACCTTTTGAATTTCTGAATTTTTGAAATAAACATAATACATATTACCGTTGCACTTAACTGTACATAGTAAATGCAGTTATTTTTCAGGGGGTGGGGGGTGTGCCCGAAGCGTGAATCCATATTCAGAAAGGCACGGAAAACAAATAACGTTTGCTAACGGTAGCCTGTTACATTACAGTACATAAAATCTCACTTACCACATAAACAGAGTAAGGAGAGATGACTGAGGACAATGGCGAATGATTTTCAGATCCTGAGCACCTCTGACAAACATCTAATCTTGTATGTAGTGTGCTAAGTACTGCCGCTCCATAGTATAAACAGAGTACGTGCGATCGCGAATCTCGAAAGTGAAAGTGAAACTAAAAAGCGATCGTCCACTCAAAAGCACTTTCAATGCCATGCATTGTTCTAGTACACCCCCAAAACAAAATCAAGACTTTGTAAAAGAGCATAATAGGACCCCTTTAAACTGTCGTACATCTTAATGCTTTGGAGTGCAAACTTAAGATTGGTCTGTTTTTAAAGAAGTCACTTTATTGCTGAAGTAAAAAAAAAAAAAAGTAAAAAATTAGTAGTAACTCATTATTATGAACAATGATATTATACACAAATATTTTTTACATTTCTATATGAAATATTTATTTTCCAAAACCTGTTTTACTCTAAAACTGTGAAAAAAAATCAAAGCCATAAAGTTGTTCCAAATTTGAGGTTGATATAAGAAAAAACAATTTGATTTTGTTTGGGTGCAGAAATTCGCTTCAAATTCATTTCCAATGTGGTCATTTTTTACCACGAGTAATTTCATGTCCATGATTTTTTTTTTTTTTTTAAATGGTGCGTTCACATAGCAAGTGCCAAAACTTTTTTGAACCAGTTTTATTTTGATGAAGTAAAAAAAAATCTAAAAAAAACAAAAAGTAACATTTTTCAGTCAAAAATGACCAAACAGCACAGAAGGTTCATTTGTATTTGATTATGCAACTATTGATGAGCTTTGATCGGGTCGCTCGCACCGGTGCGCCCAAATAATTTTTCACAGTAATTTCCACTAAAGCCTTGTCTTCTGAGGAAGCGAGCGAGCTGAAGATAGTCTTAAGTTAATGATGGTAGTCATAACGTGTGTTCAGATGATTAAAAGCGCAGGAAAAACTCAGACCGAGGCGTTCGAGTTAAACCTGCCTCCCAAATCTGTCCATTGAGTGTCTTAAGCTGCCTGGAGGATGTTTTGCTGGCGGATTGCAGCCCACTCCACTCTCTGTGTCAAGGCAAAGATGGATTATTTGGGAAAGAAAAAAAGAGCGGATGCTTTGAGAAAATCCTTTACGACCGCCGCTTATTAATCCTGTTTAGCTCAAACTTTCTGCTGTTGTTAGGACGAGTTTGTCTGACAGCCCACTCCTGCTGCAATCGATGTCCCAATCGATATGTCGTGTGTAGCTAAACAGGAATTAACAGGTGGCCACTGAGCTAAATGTTTCTCAACAAAGGCTGACATTTAGTTGAGGTGATTGAGTTATCTACACATCAGCTGCCGAGCAGTTTACCTTTGCTTTGGCCCATAACAAACGTTAATCTCTAATTCAATATAAAATTCATCAGCGGAGAGTGCCGCGCTTCTGTGTGTGTGTGTGTGTGTGTGTGTGAGAGAGACGGTACCTCAGCAGCAGGTATTCCTTCTGGCGGGCGGCACTGGAGAAGCACTTCCTGTTCGAGCAACACTTCCTTCCCCAGAGGCTCCTGGTCAAATGTTTTCCTGAGATCTGTGAAGGAACCACAGATGAACGTTTTCAGCATGAATGCATATGAATGAACACATATAGACTCAATGGAATCATCCAGGAAACTACATTACTGGTCAAACGTCTCTTCTGCTCATTAATGCTGCTTTTATTTGACTAAAAATACAGTAAAATTGTGAAATATTATTATAATTTAAAATTGCTGTTTTCTATGTGAATATCTATTAAAATGTTTTTGATTGCTGTGATCAAAGCTGAATTTTCAGCATCATTACTCCAGTCTTCGGTGTCACATGAATCCCTTATATATATATATATGTCCCATTAATGGCTCCGTAGAACGTGTTATTTGTTTTCCGTGCCTTTCTGCATACGGATTCACGCTTTGGGCACACCCTCTAACCCCGCCCCCTGATGACATCATCCATCACGATGTTTCACTGTAGACATCGTCCGATGCCAATTTGCTAGACATCGCCCAACCCTAATTGATTGATTGATTGATTGATTGGGCACAAACCAAAACCTCACATCAAAAAAAGACTGAAAGCATTAATGCATTATAAATATGCCTGTGTGAGCGACTTCTGAAGCTGCTGTAAAACAGAAAGCAGAGTCACAGCGAGTGAACAGGAGACACGCATCGGTCCTGCAGTAATCAGTGTTTCTCCTGTCACACATGTCCAGCGTGACTTTAGATGCTGCTCATTCTCTCTGACATCATGAGATGTAATATTGAAGAGTGCTGCCCATCTCTCCTCTCAGCTTCTGCTGGAATACAGATCCATGTCTTCATTCTGCATTCACCTGAGCTCCTCACACACCTGCTTTCCCGGGATTTATTTGACTTCCAGCGTGAATGAAGCATGGCGCGGGACGAGGAGCGTGTGGCAGCACATGCTGATGGCCGGAGCTGTAATGACTTTCTGCTCCACGCTGAATATTAATGCCATTAGACAGTTTAACACTGACGTTACACAACTAGTCTCCATCTCACTGCATGACTGTTATTTTAGTATTAATTATAGCTTCTGCTACTATTTTGAACTAGATTTTATTTTTTTGGTTTCATTTTAATTTAGTTAAAGTTTTAGTTATTTTGTTCTGTACTTTTGTAATTTTTATCAGCTTTTTATTGTTTTTAAAAATGCCTATATAGGTTTTATTAATTTTTATTTCAGTTTTAATTTTAAATATAGCTGCAAGCAGCGATTACCGGGGTTCCAGCACTTTAAGGCTTTTAAGGTGGTATGCTTTTAGGGTCTGGGCCAACCTGGATGTATGGCTGACAGTAAAACACATCCAATATGGAGAATATGCTCACAAACACACACGTAAAACTATTTTATTGTTTTTAAAAATGCCTATATAGGTTTTATTAATTTTTATTTCAGTTTTAATTTTAAATATAGCTGCAAGCAGCGATTACCGGGGTTCCAGCACTTTAAGGCTTTTAAGGTGGTATGCTTTTAGGGTCTGGGCCAACCTGGATGTATGGCTGACAGTAAAACACATCCAATATGGAGAATAGGAAGAGAAATTAAATGGTTAAACTATTATATTAATACTCAATAAGCATGCTTACAAACACACAGACACAGACATACACGCACACACATTTTGTTGCAGATATAGATATTTGTAATAAATGATAGGTGACAATACTTTATTGCAGGTCTTCTCTTTTTAAGAGTTTGTGTCTAGGCCTGTCACGATAACAACTTTTTGTTGTGCGATATATTGCCCCAGAAATAATTGCGATAAGCGATATTATTGTCATTTTAAAGACCATTTTATGCCACTGAATATATAATCATAATGTAACAGCATAATAATGCAAGGCCTACACACTTCCAAATGACAACAAACTTTTAATTTTAAGAATATTTAGATCATGGAAATTAAGTATCAAAATATTAGATACCTTAAAAAACTTGAATAAATATTAAATAAACATTTTCTAACAAGAAATGCAAAGTAACAAGTACAAAAAAAAAAGAAAAATGCACAAAGAACTTGTATGGAGATTTTTCCATCTACAGATTTTTCCCTGATCTTCTTTTCTCTGTAAATTAAGGGTGCACACTATTGCTGAAAAACACAATCACTACTCAGCACTCAGATGTCTGTATGCACAAAGGCACAGACCCCTAAACAAGGCCATATCTGCAGATGAAACTTTGTTTGTAGAAGCATTTTTTAAATGTGAACTAGCACCTCATGACTGCACCACGTTATGTACGAGAAGCTGCAAGGCACAGGCGCAAGTGGAATGTACAAAACACGGTGACATTAAATTTTAAGTAAATATAATGGGCGATATATTAAATTATCTTGATTTTACTGATGTTATTCTTTTTTCTGCTTTTATTTTATTTGTACAGCACTATGTTCAACTGCTAAAAAAAACTAAAAAAAAACTATGGTCAACTGCTGTTGTGTTTATCGGTGCTTAATAAATGAATGAATGAATGAATGAACCCTGCTTTTCTCTGAGCAGTTTCATTTAAAGCATGTGGATTTTCCCCAACAATATTTGCTGCTTATCTGCCGTCAGTGTGATTTTCACATTTATCATTGGTCCATGATGGGAAAACAGTGTCATGATGACAAATGGGTTCAGATTCATTTCTCTGTGAGTGATAAAAACATCATAAACACAGATTCACATTCGGCTCAGTGTTTCTTCTTATTGCTAGTTGTGCATCACATGTGTCTCAAAACCTCAAAACCTACAAAGACAGCTTCTGTTTTACAGTGTGGACAGCTTCACAGCACAATGGGAAAGTTCAAACCAATCTATGATATATGGTGTATTTTATTCATATAAATGTTAATGACAAAGCTTAATTAATAGCTTAATTTAGAATTTAGAATGTCTTTGCTTAGTTTTACTAAGCAATTTTAATTGCTTTAAATGTGCATTCAACTACTGCTACTATTTATAATAATAAAAAATCTAATTATATTAAATGTAATATAATATGTTACAAATTAAAACTTATTTCATTCCTATATGCACATTGTATATAAATTTTGAAGACAGACAATAATTTATATATGTCAAAATATGAAGTTTATTTGCAAAAACAACTCAGTTTTTTTAAATGTTCAAAAATCATGTTTTTTTTTTATTATGTTATCATGTTTTTATTATGTTAGTTCGCTGTATTTTTTTAGTTATTTTTACTTAATCAAAATAACCCATCTGCAGTTTGATTGAGGTTAATTGGAATACACAATAAAAAAAAACTTCATTTTTGAAAATTGTTAAAAACAGAGTTATCTGTTTTTGCAAATAAACTCTTTATAAAATACTATATAATAATTTATAATAATGAATAATGTTGATGACAGCTAAAAATATAATAAAAATATTTTAAACAGAAGTTATAAATGTGTCTATAACCAAACATGATTCGAACGGGCATTCAGAATTCGGATAGACAAAGAATTGTTTGCGTGCTCAAAATGGTAAAATAAAAGTAAAATAAAATGAAAGATCTGGCTGCATTGACTCATGTGCCTGTCACTTCTCGAGCTGCTTTGATTCCAAACAAATCTAGATGACTTTGTCACTTCTGTGCTACCAAATGAGAGCAGGGCAGACTGACAGCGATTGGTTGAATGCGCTGTCAATCATCTTTGCTGATGACAGTGATGGATGAGCGGCACTCTCACGCTCTCCTCTGGGCCTCCTCCATCTCTGTCTGTCTCCTCCACGGCCATCCAGCTCCACAGAGGATGACAGATACAGAGAGACTCTAATAAAAATCCAATATTTCCCACAGGAGGTGGGAGAGGAGAGAGCAGGAGGCGCTCCATCAGTTCTGCTGGAGGTGGAGGACGTCAGTGTTATATAGAGCACACGCCTCAGCCTCATCTATCTGCGCTCGCAACAGAGATCGACAACACGCTACCTGAAGAGAAAATGACAATCAAGGAAATCCCATTTAAGGGCCTTCAGTCAGCAGCCATCATCTCACTCACAGACGCACAAGTACAGCGCCATCCACTTGAGTGAGGAATGACAGGAATATCAAAAACCGTTACAATTAGAAAATGATGCTTTTTTCACAGAAATCTCATAACTATATTTAACTTCTTTAGCTCAGGTTTTCAGGCTGGTGTATTTGATGAGCATGTATAGTAATCTGTATTTAAATCTGTACAGTAAATAAAATAAAATATTGCAATAACAAATTACAGTATATATATTTTAACACTACATATATTTTATTTTAATACTATATATAATATTTTAACATTTGTTTAAATAAATGTATTATGCATTTTATTTTAGTTTAGTTTATTTACAATATTTTATTACATTATCAATATATATTTTATTATAATATTTATTATATATTAATTAAAAATATTTCAATAAAAATAATATTACAACAACTATATATGTAATTATTTTTCATATTTATACATTTATTTACATGTTATTTTATTTTTAATTATATATAATTATTATATATTTAATCATTAATATTTTTGATTAATATTAAAAAAAAAATGTGTTATATATATTATATATATATATTCTACAAAATAAATAATTAAATACTCGCCAAAAATAATTAATATATTATTATTAAATAAATAGTCACAAGTGTTTTCACAAGTGAAACTAAAAAAAATAAAAATAATTTAAAATAATTGCAAAAAATCCAAGGCTGCTAAAAAAAAAAAAAAAAAAAAAAAAGTGTATGTATATGTTGAATATTAATGTCCATTTAAAATGTGCTTGTTTTCTGGGTTTTGTTTCTCTACATATTCAGCCTGTCTGTTTTAAATATCATTAAATCAATATTTGGATAATTTACAGATCACAATATGTAATTTCTGACCTAAGAATACATTTTAGAAGTGCTCTATGCTGAAAAAAATAGCAATTCACTTTGCTTTGCCCCATCACTCTGTCCACTCTACATAGCAGATAAAACAAGCGTAATTACATTTGATGACTCAGTTTGAGCAAGAAGCTATACACAAGCTTCTCACACAACTGG